ACAAAAGATACATCTGATAAAAGACTGTTATCCAAAATATACAAAGAACTCTTAAAACTCAACGATAAGAAAAAACCCAACATGATTAAAAAATGGGTCAAAGACCTTAACAGATACCTCATTAAAGAAGATATACAAGTGGAAAATAAGCATATGAAAAGAGTCTCCATATTGTATGTTATCAGGAAGATGCAAATTAAAACATCAGTAAGATGTCTTCACACCTATTAGAATGACCAAAATCTGAAACACTGACAGCACCAAATACTGACAAGGGTGTGGAGTAACTGGAATGCATACATTTCTGGTAGGAATTCAAAAACAGTACAGTCATCTTGGAAGACAGTTTGCCAGTTTCTCACAAAACTAAACATATCCTTACCACACAATCCAGCAATTATACTCCCTGGTATTTCCCCAAAGGAGTTGAAAACTTACGTCCCACAGGAATCTACACACAGATGTTTATAGTAACTTTACTCATCACTGACAAAACTTGGAAGCAACCAAAGCATCCTTCAGTGGGTGAATGGACAGATAAACTATGGTACATCCAGACAATGGAATATTATTCAGTACTAAAAAGAAATGAGCTATCAAACTATGAAAAGACATGGAAGAACCTTAAGTGTATATTACTAAGTGAAAGAAGCCAATCTGAAAAGGCTACATACTGTGTGATTCCAACTATACAACATTCTGGAAACGGCAAAACTGGTGACAGACCAGTGACTGCCAGGGGGAGGGGACACAAGGGATGAACAGACAAAGCTCACAGGAGTTTTAGAGCAGTTAAAATACTCTGTATGATATTATAATGATGGGTATATGTCATTATACATTTGTTCAAGCCCACAGAATGTACACCACCAAGAATTAACCCTAAGGTAAACTCTAGACTTTGGGTGATTATGATGTGCCAATGTAGATTCATCCTTTGGTAACAGATGTAAAATTTGGTTGAGTGATGTTGGTAATGGGGAGGCTGTGCATGTATGGGGCAGAGGGTATATGGGAAACCTCTGTACCTTCCTCTCAATTGTGATGTGAACCTAAAACTGCTCTAAAAAAATAAAATCTTAAAAAATCTTCAGAGAGACTCAGTCATAGGGGTGGTCCCACACTTCTGTGAGTTTTACTTCCAAGAGTTTTACCAGGCCTTCATAGTAAACAGTGGAGAAACCTCTCCCAGTGCTTCCAGCAGGGAAGTGGAAAAGGAACCATTTTGAAATAGGCTAGAGTATTCTGTTCTTCTTAACAAGGACTGTGCTCAAGAGAAACTATTTGATCAAAACCCAACTTCCTGGGGTTCTATCAGAGCCTAACATACACGGGGAAAGGGAAATATCTAACTCTAGCCCCTCCAGCCATACTGTCCTACCTAAGGGATGAGTGGGGAATAAAACTCAGAAGCACTGATGAAATTCACTGTCCAGGGCACAGGCTCACCAAAAGACTGCAACCTAATCACAGGATTGTGGAACACTTTCCCTCTTCCCACACCTTACCACCACATTACTAAAGGCATATTTACTGCAGTTCCTTTACACACTACATCATGCCCACCTTTCAACAAAAAATTATAAGGCATACTAAAGGGCAAAGAACTACAGCTTGAAGAGATGGAACAAGCATCAGATCCACAGTCAGATATGACAGGAATGCTGGAATTATCAGACGAGGAATTTAAAAAACTATGATTGGGCTTCCCTGGTGGTGCAGTGGTTGAGAGTCCGCCTGCCGATGCAGGGGACACGGGTTCGTGCCCCGGTCTGGGAAGATCCCACATGCTGCGGAGTGGCTGGGCCCGTGAGCCATGGCCGCTGAGCCTGCGCGTCTGGAGCCTGTGCTCCGCAACGGGAGAGGCCACAGCAGTGAGAGGCCCACGTACTGCAAAAAATAAATAAATAAATAAATAAAAACTATGATTAATATACTAAGGCTTTAATGGGAAAAGTAGACAACATGCAAGAACAGATGTATGATATAAGCAGAGAGGTAAGAATTCTTAAAACTAATCAAAACAAAATTTTAAAGACAAAAATTTTATAAAAGAAACGAAGAATGCCTTTTGATGGCATTAGTGGACTGAATATAGCTAAGGAAAGAATCTCTGAGTTTGAGGATATGACAATAGAAACTTCCAAAAGTGGAAAGCAAAGAGAAAAAAAAAAGACTTAAAAAAACAAAACAGAGTATCCAAGAACAGGCATAACTACAAAAGGTATAACATACATAATAGGAATCATGGAAGGAGAAGAGAGAAAGGAAAAGAAGAAATATTTAAAGCAATAAGGACTCAGAATGTTCCCAAGTTAATGTTAGACATAAAACCATAGATCTAGGAATCTCAGAGAACACCAAGCAGGATAAATTAAAAATAAACATGAAAACAAAAACCACACCTGAGCATATCATATTCAAACTTCATAAACCAAACATAAGCAAAAATTCTTGAAAAAAACATTCATGTATAGAGGAGCAAAGTTTAGAATTACATCCAACTTCTCTTCAGAAACCACGTAAGCAAGAAGAAAGTAGAGTGAAATATTTAAAATGTTAATAGAAAAAAAACTACCAACCCAGAATTCTGTACCCTGTGAAATTATCCTTCAAAAGTAAAGGAGAAATAAACACTTTCTCAGAAAAACAAAAATTGAGGGAATTTGTTGCCAGTAGACTCGCCTTGCAAGAAATGTTTAGAAGTTCTTTGGAGAGAAGGAAAATGATATTGGTTAGAAACTCAGATTTACAAAAGGAAAGAGCATCAGATAATTAACAAGTGAAAGTAAAATAAAAACATTTCTTTTTCTTATTATTAGTTTATCTAACAGAGGGTTTATTCAAAATAATAATAGCAATAATATGTTCAGTTACGAATGCTTATATACATAAGCATATACACATATATAAGCATATGTATATACATATGCTTATATATAAGTGAAATGAATGACACCAATGATATAAGGGACAGGAATATTCTGTTATTATACATACGTAAAAGCCAGAAGAATACTAAAAAATTAGGAATTAGGAATATTAGGAATATTAGGAATTAGGAATATTCTGTTATTAGGAATAGGGAATATTCTGTTATTATACATACCCAAAAGCCAGAAGAATACTAAAAAATACCCAATTTATCCCAAAGAAAACATGTAAGCAAGAACAAACAATCAGATGCAACAATTTGAAAATAAACATAAGATGGTAAGCTTAAACCCACTTGCGTTAGCGTTAAAACATGGTTGCAAATTCTTTGACATCTACTCTATTAAAAGTTGGAGTCCATCTCTCCTCCCTTGAATCTGGGTAGGCTTGTGAATGCTTTGACCAATGTGACTTTTGAGTCTAGGTCACAAAAGTTCACACAACTTTGGCCTTGTTCACTGGAACACTCGCTTTTGAAACCCTGAACCAATATGTAAAAATTTCAACTACCTTGAGGCTGACATACTAAACCTGTGGCTTAGTCATAAAGTGGAATGCTATTCAGTAACATAAAGGAATGAACCACTAATACACAAAACAATATGATCAAAACTTAAAAATATTATGCTGAGAGGAAAAAGCCTTACAAAAAGAGTATGTGCTATACTACTCCATTTATACAAAATTCTAGAATAGGGAAAACTAATCTATGGTAGAAAAAATCGAACTGTGGTTGACTTTGGTGGGGGTGGGAGTTGGCAGAGATTGATCGGGAAAGGCATGAAACAACTTCCTGAGCCTGATGGTACTGTCCTATATCCTGAAAGAGGTTTGGGTTATACAAGTTTATGAATTGTCAAAATCAGCATATATCCTTAAGATAAATTAAGATTTATTTTGTTTGCATATTATATATCAAAGAAAAAACTGCAAACAAATACTGAACACTACTTAATGTTATGCAAACCGAAATGTTTATAGGGAAGCATACTGATGTCTGCAATTTACTTTGCAATGCAATAAAGAAAAGATGCATTAATGGATTGGTAGAGGGATGCATAGGTGAATAGATACACAATAAAGCAAATATAGTTAAACGTTAGTGGTAGACTCTAGGTGGAGGGTGTACAGGTGTTCACTTTAAATTCTCTCAACTATGCTGTAGCTTGACATTTTTCATATTAAAATGCTGGACATGTTTCCAAAAAAGGGGGAGAAAAAATTTTTTTAGAAAAGGGGAAGGGGGACAGGCGGGCAGGGAATGAGTAGCTAGGGAGTTTCTCCTTCTTCTTTGCTGTGATTCTTGCTTTATAGATAGAAGAAATTGCTTCTATAAAAACTGATTAAACAAAGATCCCAGTAGAATGTAATTTTACAGGATATCTATATTAAGTGGTTTTCAAATCCTTCCAGAATCGGTCGGAAATGCCCAGGTTCCTGAAGTTGTAGGAGAGTTCCTTGCCTGAATTTGCCATGGCCTGTTCATGGTTGGTGGCCTGTTTGGGACTGAGCTGGGGATCCCCAAATGCAGCAAGCATTGCTTCCAAAGATGCTCAGACTGAGAGATCTGTTGAGAGGATAAGGTCTCCAAATGGACATCTCAAAGGATCTCATTATTCTAAAACAGCCCAAAGAATGTTTCCTACATGGCACTAAAAGGGATATAAGGGGGAAAAAATCCCCTGTACTATCAACTCCAGGAAGGCAGAGATCTATGCATCTTGCTCACCATTTTTTCTCCAGCATTTTAGTACAATGTATAGCACAAAGTAAAGCCCGGTTAAATATTTGTTGAACAAATTAATGAATTAAATGTTGTTCCCTCCTACTGGAAATCTTGGAGTAAATTTCAAAATTAATGATCCATACATTTCAACTGTCCTCTCTACTCAGCATCAGTGGAAACAACTTCCAGCAAAGTCTTGCTAAAGAACAGAATTTTATATCTTTGCCAAAACGGTTAATAGGTTCTTCCAGTAAGAGGACAACCAAAATGAAAATTACTACTGCTACTATTATTTATTAAGCAAGTGCTATAAAGCTAGGGGCTATGTTAAGCACCTTACCTTGTTGCCAATCCCTGCAATAAGCCTGAAAGGTAAAAATGGGATGAGAAAAACAGTGCTTAGCTAAGATAAATAATTTACCAAACGATATGCTGCCTGACTCCAAAGCTTACTTACAACACTTATCACAGTATAAGGTGCACGTGCTCTGTGCAGAATAACACATAAATAAATGTAGAAGACCATTATCTAGTTAGGTTGCTTTTCCCCATGTGCATATATGGAGAATCTACTCTTAGCAAACGCCCACTGCACACCATGGTGTGTGTGTGTGTGTGTGTGTGTGTGTGTGTGTGTGCGTGCGCATGTGTGTAGTAACTGCCTAAACAATTAAAAGAAGGAAGGAAGCACATCCTCCCTGGCCTTTGGCCTCTCCCTTCCTCACCCTCTAGTAAATACAAGTCTGTCCAAATCAGAAAGCTCTTCCTACCTCTAGTAGAAATAGTTACCCCAGCATTATTATTCTCTACCCAACCGTTTTTTAAAAAATGTCTGTTCTCATGAAAGGATGCTCCTGGGGGTTTGTTGTTTCTCTATGCCCTCAGTGGACACTCCAGAGCCCTGTTCCTCTCTCCAGTGAAGGTCCATTTGAACCCTGGACATGCACAAACGATCCTGCTTTGATCACAACCATTCCTAAATAATAGCACAAGAATAGCACCCATACAGGGACATAGGAACCATAGATCTGGGGAAGAAGCACATCCTGCAGAGAATCAGGAAGTACCAAAGATTTGTCTTCAGTGCAATCCACCATTCCCTGCCAGGGTCCCTCTACTCCATGTTGAAAACCTTCCTACCCAGCTGGAACCTTGTCTAGAAGTGAATATCTACTAATAACATGGGACTGAGTTAGGACATGGGATTTCTAGGCCACAGTCACAATGTCACAACTAGACTCATGTTACACAGGTTCAGTATTAGAAGTCAGAGTTCTATTCCTGAAAACACATCATATCATTAGATATGAAAATTGATCAAAAATAAAAATTAAATTCCTCTTATATTTTCTTTTTAATATGAGGTATATCATAATTCAAAATACTGCATAAGATTTATACCTACAGTTAAAATAATAATTACGTCAATATCCATCTTGATACCCACATCCCAAAACAGATCCACTTCTGAAAACAATGACCTAATTCAAGAAATTGAACATAGCCAGTATTCCAGGGGCCCCCTCAGGACACTCCCGAATCACATTCTTTATGAAAAATCTTTTTTCACATATTGGAATAGATGGACTGCAGACCTCATCTTTTTTCTGGATAAATCTCCAAATATAAAGCTTGGGTATTCTTCATTGCTGCATGCTGTCTGGAACATTTTCGTTGCACATGTGACTTACAGGAATGTCTTTAAAAAGAAAATGCTGGGTATGCTAACTTCATTCTCTTTTCTCTTTTTTCCTTTTTTTTCCCTCCTTCATCTCCTTCTTCTTTCCTCCTTAAAGATCACTGGAGACCATCTTTGAGGCTGCCTACCACAACTCATTTGACCCTTCCATGATTTGTGAGAACTGTTTAGGCCACAAGTCACAGATAAGGAAATGAAAGCACAGAAATGTTAATTACCTTAATGCAATACAGAGAGCTAAGAGATGAGAGATGTGAAAGAAAAATCAAGGAAATCTGGAAGATAGGACAAAAATCTCCAATCTCCAATCCATCTAATAAAAATTCTGGAGAGAATAGAGAGTAGAAGAGAGGCAATATTCAGAGAGATTACAGATGAGAATTTTCTGGAGATAGAGAAATAAATGAGACTTCAGGTTGAAGGAGCACACAGGGTCCTGAGCAATATAAATAAACATAAATCTACACCTAGGCTCATTGTAGTAAAACTACAAACATTAAATTCAAAAAGAAAAATCTTAAAGCTTCAAAGGAGAAAAACCAATTATATCCAAAGACATGGCAATTAGACAGACAGCAAACGTCTCATCAGCAAAAATAAGTACCAGAAGATAATGAAATAATACATTCACAGTTATGAAGAAGCTGTGAAGAAAGAATTGTATAACTGGCTAACCGATCATTCAAGATGGAAGGTGAGATAAAGCCATCTTTAGACTAACAAAGGTCAAGGAAGTTTTTAATTCATCAATCTTCATAGAAAAGAATGTACACAAGAAGAAATTAAAAACAGAAGAAGTGAATGCATAAAGTTATGGTGAACACAATGTTGGTAATATGTTATTAAATCTAAATAAGGATAAAAAATTTTTAAAACGAAAACTAATTTTAGAGAATTTAAATTCCAGTTAACATGAAGATGAAGACTGGGACAGTTTAAAATTAATGCATTCTAAATTCCCATATTATTTGAGAAGAAACTAGAAATAGTGATTAATGTTTTGCTTTGCTCAGAACAGGTGGATTTTTTTATAGAGCATTGGTTTTTTTTGTTTTCTTTTGTTTTGTTTTTGCGGTACGCGGGCCTCTCACTGTTGTGGCCTCTCCCGTTGCGGAGCACAGGCTCCGGACACGCAGGCCCAGCGGCCATGGCTCACGGGCCCAGCCACTCCACGGCATGTGGGATCTTCCCAGACCGGGGCACGAACCTGCGTCCCCTGCATCGGCAGGCGGACTCTCAACCACTGCGCCACCAGGGAAGCCCTAGAGCATTGTTTCTAAGTATACCTTTTACGTAAAACAACTTTCATGTCTTCTAATTTAAAAAATAATACTATCATGTAGGCATTACACGATGAAGCTCAGGCAGGATATACAGCTTTTCAATGCTTCAAAATCTGATGAGATTTTACATTTGTAAAATCAATATACTTTGAATATTTCATACTTGTGCGAAAAGATTTAACTTATATTTTGAAAACTCTATTTCCCCAAAAAAGAAATTAAATGATTACGGGTTGAGAGTTCATTATGAAAACAGTTTAACATTTTGAAAGGCGTAAGTGAAACTTTTACAAGCTATAATCTGGAATGGGAGTCTGAACACCTCAGCTTTCTGTGTGATCCTAGGGAAACCACTTTAACTCTCCGGACACTAGTTTCCACATTGAAAAGTAAGAATTAGATGATCTCCAAGAACCCTTCCAGTAATGTGTTTCTAAAGCATTTACTGTTATAAGTTTACTGTTATCAAGGCTGCTGCCAGTAACATCTTTGTGCAGATAGCCTTCTCTTACTTTTGTTTAGTTCAGATTAATTCCTCAGTATAAATTTCCCAGGAACAGGATTAGTAGATACAAATATTTTTAAGGCTTTTGATACAATGGACCAGATACATTCTCAAAATTGCTTTCCTAAGGCATTGTACCACTCATATCAGTTGATAAACTGGCAGTAGTTATTAAAGGCTTTAAAAATGATCTTAATCTTAAGTCTGCCACTCCACCTCTAGGAATAGATCTCTAAAAGAAAGAGAAAAGTGACACAATTATGTTTACCAAATTAATATTTTTACATTTATAAATATTACATATAATATTTTTACATTTATAATGTAAAAAACATGAGAAAAACAATTATCAAACAACAGGGGACTGGTTATTACACATTTAATAATGGAATACTACGTGACCATCAAAAATCAAGATTTAGAAGAGTATTTACTACCATGGGGAAATGTTCACAGTATATTTTCAGTGAAAAAGCAGACTTACAAAATACCATGCATATTATTATCCCATTATATCCTTACATATCTATCTATGTATATATATGTAAAATATACACACATATATACATAAAATATGTATGTTTTGTATTATTAATATTTGGTTTCTAATCATATATATTCTAAATATACACATATATTCTAAATATATATAACATATATATTTAAAATACGTATGTTAAAACCAAGTAATAATAATGTTATTAGGTAGAAAGTAATGTGACTTTAATTCCCTGAATTTTAAAAATGTTGTACAAAGAACATATATTAGTTTTGTGACTTGAAAAAAAAAGCAGTAAAAAGAAAAATAAAACCAAACAAGTCACTCCAGTTCACCTCATCACTCATAGTGAATGGCTCCCTCATCCAGACTTCATTTTCCTTCATAACAAACCCAGTTTATTCAGGCACACGGTCCTGTGCTTCATGGCAAAGCCATGGGCTTCGGCCATCCCACCCTTGGTTCCAAGGGCTTCCTGACTGATCTAAGGATAATCCCATCCTCCTTGCCAGTGACTGATTCAGAAATGGCCCGCTCTGACCAATGAGCCATCAGGTGAAGTCCAGGGTATAAGTGGGGATCATTTGCTTGTCTCTGAGAGACAGCCCCACAATGACATGGCTTCTCCTTTTCTTTCTCACACTGTCACGTCTGGACCAACCACAGCCATCTTGCTTTCTGTGTGACATTGAAACTGCCACTGAAGATCAAAAACCAGAGAGATGGAAATAACCTGGGTCTCTGGTGGCATCGCAGAGCTGCTAGAGCCAGCTCCACCTCCAGACTTGTTGTTATGTGAGGTAATACATTTTCTTATTGTTTAAACCAGTTTTTCTTAACTTTCACTGTGTATCAGAATCTCTAGGGAGTTTAGAAACTACTGATCCCCAGGTTATTCCAAGGTCAAGTCAAGGTCTTCAGGGGCAAACCCATCTGAGTCAGGGTTTTCTGTTCGTTACACCTGAAAGCACTTTGACAGGTAAAGACACCTTTGCAGACATCTCCATTGTTGTTTCTCTTAAACTTTCAAGGCAGGGATTTGCTTTGGGGTTTTCTCACATTGATTCCTCCCGGGCTGAGGTCTTTGCCTCTAAAGTGCACCATTACTGACGTCTGTTTCTTGGGGACCTAACAAAACCCATCCAAAGCCTGTTCCATGTGATTTTGCATATTTGTATGCATACGTTAATGATCAAGGATATGGATGAACCTACTCAGTCATTCTGAAAAGTGTTAATGTTTTCATTAAATATTTTGTGACAAGTTACCTTTAACAAAAGTTACACTATATTTTAGTAAATGTTGAGTTTAACTATCAAGTGAATACAATATTTGAATATCTTATGTTTTTGGTTGGTACACTGTGGAAGGTATAGGGT